AAGAGATCGTTAAAAAAAAAAAAAAAAAAAAAAAAGTAAAAGCTTTTATCTGACTGTCGCTCAAGCAGTCAGACTTCAGTTGAAGTCCCGGCGGCCATAATGTTCAAGTCTGATGTCCATTTAAAAACAAAACAAAAAAACTAAATTGCAACTAGTTTTTCTGTCTGCATGTATGTGGCCTGCTTCCTTTTATTGAGCGCAACGAAAAATATACAAGGAAATAATAAATAAATAAATATAGACAGTAGCAAGTACACTAAGTTTTCCCTAGATGGCTCTTAGTCGGGGTAGTATCTTAAATTAAAAAAAAAAAAAAAGACCTCCAGATATCAATGAATTAATTGTCTTTACGATGTTTCTCCGATGTGCCGCTCAACAAAGCCGATGTGTTCTCCCTTGTAGGTGAAGCGGGAACTGGCGAGCGTCGTTATCTTCGAGTCGCACGCTAAAGCCGGAACTGTGTGTAGGTCTTGACTTTGCCGCAGACTCCAATTCCTGTTCCTTTTCGCGACACGTCTTCAAGCCATGCGGAATTGTGTTGTTGCTGCCCCCAACAGTGTTCAACCAAGGAGAAGAGGGCACCTCATGGTACATCATCCAGAAGGTCTCCGTTAATGTGGTTATCTATGGCAAGGTGGGTTCAATACTTAATCCATCATTCCCATTTTAACAGTGCAAACAGACAAGCAGAGGCTCGAAGAACACCAGCAGAGTTCTTCTAAATCCAGTCGTGACGTCGCTGCGAAGTGGCTTTGAAAGCAAATTCAAACAACGATTCACTTTTGCAACCACCGTGGAGGGAGATGCAGCACATTTCTGCAGGCTTTCGGAATCTTTTGAAGATTGTTGCAAACCCGTGTGCGTGTGTGTGTGTGTGTGTGTCAGGGGGTGGTGTGCACACTCCACGAGGGCGACGACTTCGGAAAGTTGGCCCTGGTTACAGATTCACCTCGCGCTGCCTCCATTGTCTTAAGAGAGGACAACTGCCACTTCCTTCGTGTGGACAAGGAGGATTTCAACAGGATTCTCAGGGTACGCGGATGGATCATAACCGGATGGCTGTGACCGTGTAAATAAACATAGGAGATGAATATCAATACGGCACTTTTATTATCGCGACGGTACAACAAAAAAGAATAAAGAGCTTTTTTTTTTTTTTAAATCCAGTTCGGTTCAGGATTCTTTGGAAATGTGCTAAAATGAGATGTGTCCTAATGGGGGGGTGTAGAAACACAACTAGCGGTTCTGTTTCTTGCTCAAGGTCACCGGGGTCAGGTAGCAGACTCTCGATTGTCTGAACTGGAGCATCACGTTCGGCGGATCATGTTAGCATCTGATTTTTGTCTCCCTCGTCGAACATTTCAAATATGCGACCGAATCGTGTTCTGGTCTTAATTGCAGGACGTGGAGGCCAACACAG